CAATAAAGTGGCCTGGTACTCATAAAATGAGGATGTGGCCTGTTACTCATAAAATGAGGATATGACAATATGTCCTGGTCCTTATAAAAAAGCCAAAATTAGAAAATTACAATTTTTTTAAATTTTTTAAAAAGTATGTGGTATTGGAATATTATATAAAACATTTAGTAAATACAAAATCATTAAACAGTTAATAATTTAGAAATATTATAAATTGTATATAAGATGTATATATTTTTTTCTTCAAACATCAGTTTTTGATTTCACCACTTTCATCTTTCTTTCTGATTCATAAACATGCTCTATGATTTTGTAAAAATTTATTTACACAAGATATTTACAGTTAAATAAGGTTACATTAGTATCTTTAAATCCTTCATTACTTTAAAAGTCATAATTTATTTATTGTATATCATACAATTTATATCAAAAGTCATAATTTATTGTATATCATTCAATAAAGGTGATAAACAAATATAGTTTTTTTAATAAATTCAACATAAAATTTAACCTCCTAATTTATGTTGCTTTTTAAATTAAAACCTTTTTTAGTATTATGTACTGCATATTGTACAAAAATGGATTTTTGTTATAAATATTGAATAGTCAGCTTTGCAATATTTTTTGAAGTTTTGCAATATTTTTTTATGAGATCTTTATTTTCAACGAGGCTGACACAAGCAACCACTATTATAATTGGAAGTTACGGCAAGAGAAAAGATAAAGTTTATATAGTAAGATAACAATTAACAGACAACTTGCGAATTGAAAGAATCAGAAAGAAAGATGAAAGTGGTGAAATCAAAAACTGATGTTTGAAGAAAAAAATATATACATCTTATATACATTTTATAATATTTCTAAATTATTAACTGTTTAATGATTTTGTATTTACTAAATGTTTTATATAATATTCCAATACCACATACTTTCAAATGAAGTTCCAAATCTGTAGTCAAAAGTAAATGCAATGCCCTTAATCATAAAGGGATCCAGAATCAACTCAGCAAACAACAGAAAAATATCTTTTGCCTAAATCTTGTATAAAATACTAAAGAAGTTTTTTAAGGAAGCAATCATCTTGTATCAATCAACCAAACTATTTCATTTTAAATTGTCAAGACACACTTATAAAAAAAAAAACAAATTTGCTCAAAACAATGAACTTTTTAAATGCAAACACAGTTAGAAAAGTACAAGTTGATGTTGTATTCTTTAACTCTGCTATCTTTTAATTTTTTATTTGATAGAGTGCCACATCATTGGTAACAAACTTGCAAACAAAATAATGCCTTAAGATGACTATAGCTCATTCTTCAGCATTAAATGTTGTTGCTTGCAGCAGATGAGATGCTGTACACAGACACCACAACGAAACTTGTTTTTCTTATCTGTAAATAAACGTCTTAATACTAATTTTAATCAATTTATTGCCAATATTAAAACATGGAATGTATCTGTCATTGTTTGGGGATGTTTTAGTAGAGAAAATGTTGGGAAGCAAAAATGTAAGGATAACAACAGAAGAAATTTATAAGTTCTGCCATCTGGTAAGAGAATTTTGATTAAGTATGTTTTTGTGTGCAATGATCCAAAACATGCCAGCAAAATCTACAAAAGATCTTCAAAGCCAACACGAAGAGCATGAAGCAAGAATTAGATATTGCTATTCAAAGATGAATAAAGAAATTTTCCTTACTCAAATAAAACATCTTTCAAAAAAACTTTATAATAATGCTAAATATGGTATTTGAAATAATTATTTAAATATATTTATAAACTACATATACTAACATATTAACAGTTGAAATACTAAATTATAAAACTTGTTAGTTCTTAAAATATTAAATTTTAAATTTTGTTCAAAATTTTATTTATGAGGTGTTATGAGTTAGATTATTAATAGAAGATGTTTAATTCTTGTTAACGCAACAATTAGAGTATATTATAAACTTAAGAAGGTTTACTTATATATACACTAATAATTTTAATAAACTTAAGAAGGTTTACTTATATACATTAATAGAGTATATAATAAACTCAAGAAGGTTTATTTATACATTAATAAATGTTTTCTACTGAGTGCTCTTATATATTATATAATACTCTTTTACTGCGATACTGTATTACTCTTAAAAGAAAAAAAAACGATAATAATTAAGTAGAAGGTCAAAATATTTAGCGATAAATTTTTAAACGATAAATTTTATTAATAAAGACTTAACAGAAATGATGTTTTTAATAATGAAATCAAATTTGTTTTTGTGGAAAGTTAAAGTTTACTTTTCCTTATGCTGCTAATTTACTGCATATTTATTTTTTTCATTTTTGACAAAAGAAGAGATTTACTCTCAGGAAAGTTGGCTTTTAATTATTACAAGAAATTGGTGCAAAAAAGTATTGTCGGTCTGTTATTCTCAGATAATTAAATATCGCATTTTTATCTCAGAAATTAGGCTCTACAGAATTTAGAAAAAAATTGTAACAATGCAAATCAAACATTCCATTTCTTATATATTCAGGGTGTTCAAAAATTAGATCATGGCAAAAATTTTCACTAACAAACGGGCAATTTTTTGCTGACCATAATAAAGAAATAAAAAACTGTTTTTTGTTTTTTTTTTTAATTATTTTTTTACCTGGTACTAACCTCAAAAATATTTTCAAAAAGAACTTTAATTTTATAAATTGCATAATATACCAGAAAAAAAATAAAAAAAAAACTGGCCAATATTTTAACAAATGAATGTTTATGTTATTTAAAAGACATATACTAAAAATTTTCATTATAGGTTCATTTTTATGCTTTGTGCCAGATCTGTAACTATTGTTTTTTACTGGTTACAACCAATCAATCAATGAAATTTAGGTCTTTTTGGCGATGGATTTTCTGATGGAGGTCAAACTCTTATTTTTTTTATGTGCTAAAATAATTTATAGAAACAAAATAATCAGCAGTGCATTTTGATTAATAGCGTTAAAAAAAAGGTGGGGGAGGGGGGAAAGAATTTCCTGTCATAGAAGACGGAAATGTATTCACCTTCTGTAAAATAGACACTGAATAAGATAGCAGCATTGATTTGTTTCTTGATTTATAGAACAACTGTTTGGTGACCATGAAGCTGCTAATGACAGCTAGTCAATCATTTTTTGTTGATTTTTGTAATTTTTGTTAAATACATTTTTACTATTGTTTGTTTATTATTTAAAAAGAGATTGACTGGGGTGGGCTCCCCCTCCCTCCCCCTTTTTTTTTTAAGGCTATTAATCAAAATATACTGCTGATTATTTTATTTCTATAAATTATTTAAGCATACATAAAAAAAATCAGAGTCCTATCTTCATCAGAAGACCCACCGTCTAAAAAACCTGAATTTAATTGATTGACTGGTTGCAACCGGTAACACTGGTTACAGGTCTGGCGCAAAGAAATGAGCATGAAAATGTACCTATAACAATAATTTTTGGTATGTCTTTTAATTAACATAAACATTCATTTATTAAAATAGTATCCAGTTTTTTATTTTTTTCCTGGTATATAATGCAATTTATAAAAAAGTTTTTTTCAAAAATTATATGAGGCCAGCGCGTGGTAAAATATAATAATAATGAAAAAAAAAGAAAAAAAAAGAAAAAGAGTTTTTCATTTCTTTATTATAGTCCACAAAAAATTGCCTATTTGTTAGTGAAAATTTTTTCATGACCACTATTATATATGAATTTAATCTTATTAGCTCTACCAAAGAGCAAAACTATTTGCAAAGAACTTTTACTCTAATTCATTTGTTGAATGAAATGACCACACTCTTCTTTTCATTACAAATAAACAACTTAACCACTCCATCATCTTAACCACTCCAACTTCTTTACCATTCCACTTTTCTTTACTACTCTAACTTCTTTATCACTTCAACTTCTTTAACACTCCGATATCATTACCACTCTAATTTAATTCAAGTCTCATTTATTACTAATTAACAACTTAAAATAATTTTTCTTTGTCTTAATTAAAGCTTGTTTTCCTATTTGTTTGTCAATTTTTAAACAGGATTCAATCATTAAAACAAAGATCACTCTCTAACAAATTTTCTTCTTAATATTATTATTGTGTTTGAATTTTTGATAACCAAAATTCAAATATCTATTTTGAGTTCAAGAACTTGGATTGAGTTAACTTTTAACTTTGATGAGAATCAAAACAGTAAACTCAATCAAAATCAACTGTCTCATCAATTCATTTTTTCAATCAACTCAATCAAACTTTTGATCTTCTTGTTGTATTGATAACATGTTTACTTGCTAACAATGTTTACTTGCTAACAATGTTTACTTGCTAACAATGTTTACTTGCTAACAATGTTTACTTGCTAACAATGTTTACTTGCTAACAATGTTTACTTGCTAACAATACTTAATAACAAAACAGATCTTAAGCCTCTTATTTAAAATGATAGTAAAGAATCTTATTCAAAAGCTGAATTAAGTGTTTTAACTAAAAGGAACTATCATGCATTAGATGCAAGTGGTGAAACATTAAACTTTACAGTCATTTTATTTAAAATTACTTGTGAAAATTTTGCTATAGAATTCTAATTTTCATATTTCTATACTAAAAAAATGCTTTTATTCTGGTCAAAGATAGATAAAAAATAGCTATAAAGATGATAGATACACAGATAAAAAAAAAATATTTACATAAATTAAAGAAAGCAAAATGTATAAAAATTAAAAAAAAAATTTTTTTTTAATTTTTTCGAAAAAACATTTTTTTGTTAAAAAACAAAATAAAAAAACAATAGATAAAATACATTTTTACAAACAAAAAGCCTTCACAAGCTATCAACCTTTTTCAGAGAATTTTTAGTCTCTATGGTAACTTTAAACTTATTCAAAGCTAGTATTATAACTAAAAATTCTTATTACTTTAAAAATTATTCAAAAATTCAATTAACATTTTTGTTAACAAATTGCTTGCATGGATTTTGAAAACAAAAAAATACCATATATCAGCTTTTTTTCCATATTCAAAATTAGGAAAGGTTGCATTAATAACTTCAGGACTCATCCAATAACATGTTCCAACAGATGATTTACATCCTGCATGAGAACGAATTGTCTAAAAATACAATTTAATTGGGTAAAAATATCATTTTAAATGATAACTGAGACAAAATCTAAGTTATTTATTAAGTTATTCTTAAAACATTTTATGTCATTAAACTTAAATTATAAAACTGAAGTTTATAATTGACTTGTGTACAGAGTTGTTAGTTCTTGGCCTTGACCTTGGCCTCAGCCTAGCCTTAAGGCCAAGTATTTTTTGGTCTTGCCTTGAAACTGTTGGCCTTAGTCTTGGCCTTGAAACTGTTGGCATTAACCTTGATTGCTTTGGCCTTCCATCTTTTCTTAAATAATTCAGAACTTTCTTTTGTGTTTGCATTTTAGTTGACACAGTTTAGCTCTTTTGAGTTATTTTTGTTTACTTAAAAGCTTTAGAACTTAATTGCGTTTTATGCATGGCTATCTAAAACACAGGCCTATTTTGACCTATAATTTTGATTTATAAAAATATTTTAACAAATTACAATTGTTATCTAACTTGTTAACTAAAGGCATCTTATTTTATATTTATTGAAGAGAAAATAATACTAAATTTCAATGAAACATAATTTATTCAAAAGAGTTTTACATTAGTCAAACAACAAAAATAACAAAAGTTTTAATTTAATTACTCAGTTTTGAAACTTTTTGAGCTGGCTCCTTGTAAGGACGTAGAATGTTTAGCTTTGAATAATTATTTTAAAAAATATTTGAAAAAATTTCAAAACTTTTCATACACATACTATTCTTAAAATAACCCAAAATATATAAATTGTCAATTGATTCAAAATAGTAAGATAAGGAATGCAAACAATGGCAAAGCCAGATCCAGTGCAATAAAAAGTACATAACAAAAGAAAGTAAATTGACTTAAAATGTCAGTTGGCTTTGATAAACCACCTCTATCCAAGTCTTTGGGATAAGCACCATACTCATTACAATATGAATATGTATCTTAAATTGAAGGTAACCAGCAATGTATACTAAAGTCATTTTAACAGCATCAGTTAATTTAGACTAATATTTTCAAAGATTCAAATATTTCACTTTTGTGTTAGGTACCTCTGACAGTTCATGCAAGACCAACATGAAACTTATGAAAGTCTGAAAAGTAGTTTTGAGCACTCAATAATACTTTTTTTTTTAAACTTGTTGAACCAAAATTAAATAAGCACCACCAACACCTTGACGCAACTTACTAAATGCTTTTTCAATAGGGTCAGATGTAAAATTACCAAGTTTTACAAATTAAAGAGATATACTTAACAAATATTTTGTTAACTCAACTATACCTTTTAAGGTATGAACTATTGCTTTAGATGTTTTAACAGTCAGTGTTTTAATTCTTTTTTTTCTATTATGGCAATCCATATCTTTACAGATTAGTGATAGCGAAAGTATCTGTTGTAGACAAAGCACAATGGGTCTATTAACCTTTTATCATCACTTAGTTTGTGAACATTAGCAATGTTCCATGTATCTATAAACTTTTTTAGAAATACAACAGTTCCTTTAACATTGTTTTGGTCTATTTTAGGATGTGTTAATAAAGCAGAAAGTGTTTCATCACAAAAAACTCTCAAACACAAAGAAAAATTTTGTTGCTAAACAGGTTTTAGAAAGATTAAAGCCCATAGTAAAATGTGAAAGAGTCACAAGTATCTTCCTTTCTCAGTTGTAAAGGTTCTTAAGATCATCTCACCAATATTTAAAATTTTCATAGAAGATAAACTTTCTATAATAACTTGTTTTTTTTATCTCAATATTAGTTAAATATCTTATAGCTTCATCGAAATTTGCCTAAAAGTTTCATGATTTTTAGACAAACTTGTTACATAGCAAAAGCATCCACATTGGTATGTATCATATTTTAAATTAGAAGAAAGATTTAGTATGAACCTATAAAAAAAATGTTTAGATACAAAAATCTGTTTTTTTTTTAAATATACATAACAATTTAAAGAAAGCTTATCTTACTTAGGTAAACCACAGTAAAATTTAGTCAATTGAAAATAAACCATCACATTTGTAGACAACTATACACTTTAATAAAACTTTTGGCTAATGAATAATGAAATCATTAAAATTCAAATAGTCCATGGCTTTGAAAATCTCAAGTTGATCAGCTTGTATATTTCTTGAACCAGTTAATGAAGCTGTAACTTTTGATTTTGAAGGTGCAGTTGGTACAAGGCTGGATGATAATAATATATGATTATAATAATGTAAAATAGAAGGCGGAGAAGAGGCTTTTTCCTTACCATAAACATTTTTTTAAAATTTATAGGCCAGTATTCAGAACATACAACAGTGAATTTGCTATCAGGAATGTTGCTTCTTTTAGCCTTTTTAACAACTCTGCTTGTGTCAGTAATAAATTTGCAAATGTGCTTCCAATTTTATAATACAAAAATTTAATAGAAAATTAAAAGTTATTAAAAAAACGCAACTAATGTAGACTTCAGCATCAGTTAATGTAATTATCAAGTTTATAGTTTTTAAACATACTTTGTAAGTTGTGTTAGAATTAAAAAAAAGAATTCTGAATTCTTTAACAAGAAATCAAAAACCTTTTCATTTCTTGTTAAATGCAGACAATACTTATAATTTAAAAAATAATATATTTACTAAAGACTGTCTTCAAACACTTGCCTATTTTTCAACAAATACTTCACAAGATGTCAAATAAATGTCATTTCCACTAACCCTGGTCACACTCTAATAAATCTCAAATTTTTATAAGTAAGTTATAAGTATTTCATGAAATAAATTAATTTGTTTTAAAAGATGAAAATTCTATACAACTTTTTAAACCTTTAATTGCATACAAATATTAATTTGATTATGATTAATAAAGACAAAAAAAAAAAAAAAATTGAAGCAAATATTGATAGTAACAGCATCTGAAAAAATAATTCATAATTTATAACTTTATTTAATATAAATGTGCAGCCCATCAACAATAAATGGTGTGGTATGATAGCTGCAACCCATGCTTAGCTGGTTCAGTAACATTTGAAATTTGTTGACTGAATTTGTTGTTTTTATGTAATTATTTCATTCCACTCCTTTACTATTCTGTTTTTCAAGAAAATAATGACAAAAAATAATATAGAGTTAAGAGAGTGTTGTAACCACAACAACAGTCTTCTTGGCAAATACATAAAAATTTTTAGACATGCATTTTGTTTTAAATTGTAACAAAACTTTTGTGTTCATTTGTTCAACTTTTATGCAAAAATAGATTTTTTTAACAACTTTATTTTCTAAACTATATTATCTAATATTTATTTAAAGCATTCTTATGGCAAATTTTGATTTAATTTTAATAACAGAAAAAAATGAATTTTTAAAATCGCCCAGGCTAATTTAAAAATGACCATTATGCCAGCACCTTTTTGTGCTAGCATTAAATTTCAAACAGAGACGACTACACAACTAAAAGGAGCCTCCTCAACTATAGTGGTGTTCAAGGCCTTGGGGAGATAAATTGAAATGAATTAAAAAAAAAGTCATTTTATTAAGTCCTCAATAAACCTAAAATCAATAAAAAAAAACAATAACCTATTTTTATCCATGATTATCATGAGTATTCATGGTGTGGATTATTTTACCCTAAATGCATTACTACACACTTATCAATATTTAGCTCCATAAGCTATGTGTTACACCATTCTGTGCACTTTAATAATACTTTCTTGAAGTTCTAGAAAATCCTTTAAATGTTTTTTTAGTTTTAATGGTTTAATCAATTTAGTCATGAATTAGAATAAATTAGCATAAAAAAAACATCAAGTTTTCAGTTCATTTGGTAAGTCATTTATGTATAACAGAAATAGTTTTGTTCCAAGAAGCGGTAGTGGTGTAGTGGTAGAGCGCTCGCTTCATAAACTAGTGGTTCCGAGTTCAATCCCCACCACGTCCCTGGTAGTACCGCGCTCAACTCGTTTCTCCGCGCAGCGGCCTTGTTTGTCAAGGTTCGTGTTTCGGAGTTATAGAGTTGAGAGAGGGTTATAGCCACAATTAAGTAGCCTCCTCGTCTGTAGTGGCCTTCTCGGCCTTGAGGAGGTGAATTAAAATTAAAAAAAAAAAAAAAAAAAAAGCACACTACTTGTTACATTCACCCAATCTGACAACCATGAACTAAAACTAACTTCTACCTCCTATTTATTTCATTATTTTATCTATATCTTGATAACTTAAACTTTAAATGTATCAAAAGCTTTAGAGAAATCTGAATATAGTGTTTTAACACTATATTTATTAACTATACACTTTATCGCAAAATCTGTGCACTTGAGTAAATTTACAAGACTTTCTTAGAATAAAACCATCCTGTTTCTTGGTGATGAAGTTAATAACTGCTAGATGAATGTATACATGTTGCCTTAAAAGATATTCCATTACTTTACATAAAATATTTTATAAAACCCAGTCTGTAATAGAAAGTTCTGTAATTTACTACTGTTCTGTAATTTACTACTTTTTTTAACGATTGAACTAAGATTTGCTTTAGTTCAAACTTTTTTTCCCTACAATAAAAAGTTTAGTTGTAATGGTAAAACAATCCCTAAACATTTTTTTGTTTCCACCACACCTTACATTAAGCACCTGAGAGCAACTTGACAGTAATGTAATAACTGAAACAACTGAAACAACTGAAACAATTTTGATCATATGTTTTTTTTGATTTTTTTTGTTCTACTTAAGAAAAGACCTATCTATCTATCATTCTTTATAAAAACTTTAACTAAACTATTCAGGAAAACATCTAAATGAAAAAAGTAAAAAATATTTGAGCTACATTGGTATTTTTGTAAATAAACTTGCCCCAGAAAATTGTGATAAAGGTTCCATATTCACGAGTTATAATTAAAGGTTACAAAAATTCAGTTCCAGCCAGAATTCTGACAGGAATTTGAGATTTTTAGTTCAATTTCGTTCACGCTGAAAGTTTAGTTGTAATGGTAAAACAAACAATTTTGCACACATTTTAGGGTGTTAGGGTTTATTCCA